GATTAAATATAATCACAAATTTTGACGACAATCTACAAAAGTGTTTCAATTCTAGCATTTTTATATAGATTTTTGTAGCATTTTTTAAATTCCTGTAGAATTTCATAGATTTTGATAATTATTTTTTTGTAGTTTTTTGTAATAATTTTCATTTTTTTTTAGAATTTTGTAGAATTTTGTAGAAATTTTTCCGCCAGGGTAATTATTATACAATTGTATTACAGGTAAATAACATTTTAGTTACAGGTTACATTTACGTCGTGTAACATTCTATAAGTGGGAACTAACAACTAACGTGAATGTTGTATATCAAGTAAACGTTATATTTTTTGTTACATTTAATTATTTATAGCGATAACGTAATCTGTTTGCTGGACTAATGTCGACGGTACTGTAACTTTCAAGCTTCATAAGTTAAAAAGTATTTATTGAAAAATAACTTTATTATAGCGTTTTGGAAAGCTCTCGAGGTGTGCTACAAAAATATGTAATGAAAAATAGGGGTTTCATTTAAAAAATTCAAAGTGACCTTGTCCTGATCTTAATGACACCACTACAGGATCAAACCAATGCTATCATCTTATATTTCCCTCGAGTCCTAAAACTTTTGTCTAAAACATTTTTCCCTAAAATGCACTGTTCAAAAGATATTTAAAGTGATTGATTAAAATGGGACACCCTGTATATATTTTTGTCGCCAATCTATGATATTAGATCAGCATTCAGCAGGTTCTATTTGATTTCTGCTGTTAATTTCCTGGCATAAAATATCAAAAAATTCTGTCAAATTCTATTGCAGTAGTTTGCCGACATCATCAGATTTATATTGTATAAAATTTGTTGCATATATATAAAGCAGGATGTTAAAAAAAAGCCGATTTTGGCTCCCAAAGGTATAAATAAAAACAATAGTTTTTTATAGATTTTAATCTTCTACTGAATGCGAGAAAATTATTAAAAAGTTCGTAGCACTTGGGGAACGCTTTAAAAATTGAGCATAAGCACAGGGTATTTATCGAAATTCGGATGAACCATAAAATGTATTCGTGTATTAATTGTTGTAACTTTTTGAAGAGAGGAGAAAGAATTAGTAACTAGAAGTGACGTGTGTGTGTGTGTGTGTGTGTGTGTATTTGCATACCACAAGAATAAAAACTCCGTAGTTTAATGTCAGCTCCACAATATTTTACAACTCCACACCCTTTCTGTGGTGTGTGTGTGCATAGGTGCATATGTGTGTATTACGCACCGTATAGGCGCGCGCGCGTACGCAGCAGCACGCACACAATTCTTACTTCCTTCTTTCTCCTCTCTCCAAAAAGTCTACAATAATACACGAATACATTTTATGGTTCACTAGTCCATATAACAGCTGGCGCGCGCTGCATTATTCGCGTGCGAAATTGGTCATGTAGCTTAACTCAGAGAAATATCGTATTTATCGACCATGAAACCTTTTTCAAAAAATTTCCGTAGTCAACTTGCCGAAGTCGAATTCGTCGAGCCTGGACATCTGGTGAGCGAAATTCCCATAGGTCAACTCGAGGAAGTTCAAATTTGTACGTACACTATGGAAAATGTTGCAAAAAATTCTCGTAGCACAATTCGGGGAAGTCAAATTCGTCGACTTTGAACACCTGGTGCAACACCATATTTGACCCGCCATTTTGACTCGAGGAAGTCAAATTCATTGAATCTGGAACCTGTTGCAAAAAATTCCCGTAGCGCAATTCAGGGATGTTGATTTCGTCGACTTTGAACATCTGGTGCAACGACATATTGAATTCGCGAATTTAAAATTTATTTTAAAAAAAGAAACCAAATCCTTGATCCTTAAAAAAACCTACAAGTCAATGTTTAATTTTGAAAAAAAATTTAAAAAAAAAATGACGTTTTGAACGGCCATATTGAAATAAAATCGGCCATTTTAAAATAAAATCACGATTTAAAAAAAAAAGCATTTTTAAAAAATAGCAAAATTCATCTTTAAGATGAGCCCAGAAAGTCGCTATCTTTATTTTTCTGGAAGATATGAATGTTTAAACATTGGAGAAAAGAGGCTTCAACGCATGTAACACGGCAATTTTAAGATAGGATTATCCGAATTTCGGTAAAATGTGTTTATGATTAATTTTCAAGGTGTTCCCCAAGCGCTACGAACTTTTTAATAGTTCTATCGTATTCAGGAGATTAAAATCTATAAAAATCTATTGCTTTTAGATATACCTTTGCAGATCAAAATCGGCCCTTTTTTAACATCCTCCTTTGTTATCATATTGACATTAGAAATTTATAGCAGAACTCTGTTTAAAATCTCTTCAGATGTAACTATCTGGGATGTAATAAGGAAATTTCAAAATAGAAGAATTGAATAAGATTGTATAAGATGCAGATAAACAATGTGTATTATTATAATCATTATAAAAAAGAGAGTTCTTTTTTTCAAGATTACACGGTAATTTTTCTAATTTTTATAATAATAATAAATTATAATTATTTTTATAATAATAATAAATAAAATAAAAATTATGTAAATATTTAGATTTTTATTCATATTCATAACCATCATCACAAAATTCACTCTCAGATGTTGCACGAGACTCGAGCATCTGTCCAAGTGACATTTCCGTAGCATCAGATTCTTCCTCATCAAGGTAATCGTCATTATCATATCCTGGAACAAAAATGGAAATCTTAATAAAAGCTGTGCAAAACATTTAACATTACTATATTAATAACCTATGATAAAATATTAATAATCTAAAAAAGATAAAAATTTTAAACAAAAATTACGCAACCAATTTCAGATGTATCCACTATAGGTGTATCCAATTCCATTGAATTGATTTCTTTCTTTGTAAATTCTTCGTCTTTTCTAGATATTTTATCTAATGTTTTATCCAGTGATTTTTTTAATTGCTGGGTATTCGGTTTAATGGAAGGGTATTTTTTTGTTGACAAAACCTCTGTAGACTTCAGTGTAGAATTAACTGTTATCCTAATTACAAAATAATAATTATTTATTTATCAATTGATTTGTCAGCAATTGTAAAATAATTTGCACTTACGGTTTCTTGAAATTTATTGTGTCTAATTCCGATGTATTCGTGACAGGTAAGTCTTGACTGTTTTGTTGTTGATTGTTTAAATTTTTCAACACTTCGTAATTAATCTTGGACGAAATCTTTTTTTCTTGTAGCATTTTTTCTATTGCTTCGCCTAAAGGAGAGAAAAATAAAAGATGGCTTAATAAATAATAAATACGTTTGTCGCGAGACCGATGCCCTCGCGGCAGTAAGCATTCTGAGGAACCAAATACGAGCCGATTAGGCGTTCGGCGTAATATTAAGCAACATAATTGTATCCGAAAAATATAATGGAACTAAGGACGTTAATCGCGGCGTACCAAGAACGATCGCGTTATGGCAATACCCGAAATGCTTAGCGCTGACGCGGCAACGCGTAGAGAATAAGTACGCGCAACAATAAGCCGCGGGCGGTCAGTCTTTACGTCCGTCTTGTCACGTTAGAACGACGATCAACCACTAAGTTCATCCAAGTTAACCTGTTTGTAATTAGCGAGGTGAAGGTGTTAAATAAATACATCTGGAAAATAAGTGAAAAGGAAATATATATATGCTTTAGAGTTCGTTATTAAAAAGTGAAGTCCCGTTTCCCCGCGGAGTCGGATCCTCTCGTGCCCAACCCCGGGCACAACATGTTATAAAACAAAACAGAAATCAACTTGCCTGCAGTATTCGCAGGCATTTTATGTTTTTTGGAGGTTGTTCTTCTTCTTTTTTTTTCAGGTTTACCTTCTTCTTTTTCTTTTAAACGTTTTTCTTCTTTTTCTTTTTGTTGAACAAGATAATCAGCGTTTACTTTATTCCAAAGGGCTGATTTAGATTGCGATTCTTTTTCCGAAAGAATATAACTGTCTAATTCTTCATCATCAATATCATTCGTGTAGATTTCTTCAGAAGACTAAAAATAAACTGTCTTAATTATCGCAAATATTTAATATATGATTTAATATGCATGATACTCTTTTAGAATGTCATAGATTAATCAATAATACAATAATAAAAATATTTTTTATATTTAAAAAATAATAAGTCAATAAATTTAAATATTTTTAGATATAAATCTAACAAAAAAATACATGCAAAATTGTCATCTCCTGACAAAAATTAAAAAAAAAAGACGGAAAACTATCGTCAATAAGTAGTGAGCAAAAATTATTGTATACAGAAATAGTACTTCTAAAACATTATTGTAAAATCCATTTTATTATATTTACAGTTAAATTTAGCATTTAATAAGCTTAAATAAGCTTAAATAAACTTTATTTCATTAAAAAGATGTTAAAATTCTTAAAAATTATAGTAATAAAGTATTCTAAAAAATATAACAGTTTAAAAAAAACCTAAATACATATCGTTATAAAGTCTTTAAAATTACAAAACTTTTGTTTAAAACATTTTTTTATATCTATTACAATTTTAACATAATATAAGATATTAAAAACGATATTAGAAATATAAATATCAATTTCTTCAAGAGATTATTTCAGTTTTTTAATATTCACTACTACGATAAACTCCGATTGACATCGAGTTTTCCATGCTATTGACCATAATTATAAATATATGCGCAATAATTACAAATATAACACAAAATATGCAAATATTTTTAAAAATGTATAATAATAATAATAATAATAAACATGAAAAAATTATAATAGAGTACACTGGTAAATAAATATTTTATTATATTGTATTATGTATTAACATTTTTATGTATTTATAGTTACTAAATATTTTATAAATATACGTAATTATGTTATACACATTTTTATAATTATGGTCGTACAATTTAAATTTATGTCTTACTGTTCAATTTACTATAAAATAATACACTTAGTGCAAACAGAAAATCAACTACAATATACTTGCAAATGTGTTAACGTGTTTAAAAGTATTTATAAAAAAAGTATGTTTTTTATAAATACTTATTATAATAATATATATACTATAACTATAACACAGATATATAACGTTTATCAAAATAGAAGACACTTGTATGTATTTCTTTGTATCAATAAAATATTACTTTATAATTAAAATTTATAACATCATAAATAAAAAGGAACAATTCTTACATTTTCAAAATAATTATCTTTCTCCTTGGATTCATTTAAATGATCATTTGCAGACATCATAGATGCTATATCAGGACCTGTATACATTGCATGAAATTACAAATATGTTTATAATAAGATATAAAGCAAGGTTTGGAAAATTATTTTTTAAAAGTAACTCATTACTCATCAAGCCAAAAAAGTAATAAGTTACCGTTACTAGTTACTGATTCTCAAAAAAGAAACTCGTTTCCGTTATCATTCCTTAAAAAGTAACAATTCGTTTCTTTTTTCGTTATTTTTTTGCTAAAACAAGATTAGACTAAAAAATTTATTTTTGTAATATTTCTAAATATTAATAAAAGTAATAAAATTTTTTATCTTAAATTCGCAAAATCACTAAAATTTAAAAAAAAAAATTTTTTAATGTTCAAAGTATAAATGAAATTCTAGTTTTTGTTAAATTTTTATATGCTTTTATATTTTTTATTTATACTTTATTCATACTTATACCCTCAATTTTATGTTTAAAAACTTTAACACGATAAGTAGCTCAGTGAGCGCTTAGCTTAGCGAATTGTAATATGATTGGTTCTTGTCTTCAATTCTTTACTCTAACAATAAGTAATCGAAATCAATCATAAATATCATGATAAAAAATCACTGAAAACGTCGCACACTAAACTGTTTTGTGAGTTTTGTTTGCTGAACGCAGCCTATAAAAATAAACTATGAATACACTGTTCAACAAAAAAATGATTTTTTTAAGGAGGTTCGTTAGATCATTTGCGGGGGTAGGTGGCAAGGGGAGTATGCCTATAGATGTGTCTGTGTCGTTGCATTGAACATGCATTCCAACACACATACATGTCATAAGCGAAGTAAGCAGCAATATAA